AGATTTTAAGGTTTGTCTTTCGGTTGGTTGGTTGTTTAGTTGTTGGTTTGTTTTTTTTTTTCCTGGCATATAATCATCAAAGAGTTTTGCATGAGAAAGGTGACAGTACTTAATGAAACTCAGCACCTAAGGGCATAAGGCAGTTGTAGGTTTGTTTCTTTTTTTTTTTTTTTTTTTTTTTTTTTTTTTTTTCATTCAGAACCAACCCCACAACTTTTTATTTTTCAATCAGCACCAATCCCATAAATAATGTTCTACACTTGGTGTACGGTATAAAACTGATGTGGAGATGCCTCCTTCTCCACCTGTGAATCCTAGGTGTGGAAGTTGAAATACTGTTTCTTGTGTGTAAAAAACAAAAGAAAAGTTTTTCTTTTTGTTTTTACTTACAAAACATAGAGAATATCTTTTTTTTTTTTTTTATACATACAGCAACCAGAAAGAAAGCTTATCTGAAGGTTTGTGTTTGTTTCATGATCTGTGTTTACCGTAAACAAAAATAAGGTCCCCTCTTTTTACTTTTGCTTTAAGGAGCTTTAAAGTGAAGATTCATATTGTAGCAACTCATATAAGAGAGGTCCATCTCTATACCTAATACCTACAGCTGTGGGGGTGACATACTGGAGGATGTTGATAGTTCTTCTCAACCTCCTGTCTACAAAATGAGCATCCCATGCAGGGTATCTTTTTCTCGGGATGTCAATCTTAATGAGAGGCCCCTCGGGGGGGTAGGGTCGCCCAGATGGAGTAGATGGAACCATTGCTCTCACCTGGAAAACGGGCAAGCAAGTGTCAGCTGTGAGTTCCTCCTGTTGCTCCGTGACCGCTCTGGTGGGCGTAGCCTGAGCCCCCCTGTACCCAGGGGTTTGGGGTGCCATGGGCTCAACATCGGGGGGCAAAGGAATGCCCCAGAGCAGCTCGGCGCAACAGGAGCTGGCAAAGATCTTAGCTCTCGGCCCCATGGGATGCAGCACACCATAATATAACAGCATCAAAGCTATCCCAGCAGCAAAGCTAAGAAAGACACAACACAGTGCTGGCACGGCATATGAGTCAGTAGTGTCAGGATCTCTGTAAAAATACCACAGGAGGGTCAAGGCAGCGTTCTCCGTCAGGACCACCGTGTAATACGCAAACATTCGGTATCGAGTCCGCCCTTCCTTGACATTAAACCAGCAGAAAATGTACACAATCCCTACCACCATGTTGAAGAGGATCTCCTCCCACTTAGACATGCAGAAATCTGTCCCACCATGGATGATCCAGAAAGCCATGGCACACCAATGGACCACTACAAAGATCCCAAAGTAGAGCTGGAAGATGGAAGCAAAGAGAGCAAAAGAAATAACTCGGGATGAGATGGTGAAGAGGCGCCAGAAGAGATGGATGAGGGCCCCTCTGTAGCTCATACTCTTCTTGTCGTCCCTAGAGTCCCGAAGAAGCTTGTGATAGGAGGCTAGCACCCAAGCCAGGGACATCAGGGAGGCCACAGAGGACACACCTGCCGGAAGACACACAGATCCACTGAGTTAGACAGGAGGTTGGGTTGAAAACATCATCTGCTCACTAAATTATCGCATCTGGGGCAGGCTCAGGAGCCCAGAGGTTCAAATCCCGTCAGGTTGTCCTTACAGTCTGGAGGAGAGAAATACAGAGACATCAGTGTGGGAACTGGAAAGGATGCTGTAAGCAGGGGCTCCCTGACACAGCACATCACGCTTGTCTTCAGGAGCTCTTGGCTCTGCCACCCCACCCCAGCTCTTCTCACAGAGAACAGCCCCTCTCCTCATCCTGATGAGATCCACGTTTGGGGATCTGGAGCCCAGACCCCACCTAAACACTGCAGACTGAGTAGGAAGGTTGCTTTCTGTAGAACGGGGTCTACCCTGGAGTGCACCCTCACAGAGCAGGACATCTATATTCCTTGTAACCTCATGGGACCTTTTTGTTCTAAAATACCTTCATACAAGCAACAGTCACTTTGACTTGTACTTGATTCCACCTCACCAGGAATCCCCATTTGCATTTGCCTTTGGGAAGAACAGGCACTTGCTCAGGTTCTTCTGCCACTCTGTGGTCCCATGCAGAAGTTTGTATGAGCAGAGGGAACATCAGGACTCATCAATACCCTCCAAACAGTCACAAAACAAAGGATCTGATCCCTCCAGCAACATTTCTGTCCTGTTTCCAGGGTGGACTGAAGACCTATATTGGAGATAGCTTATCTCCAGTCTTGTCTCCTGGATGGACCACAGATCCAAGTAGCAGTCATGTCTCCAGCCCTATCCCGTTCTGCTCCTGGTGGGACTCCCTGATGAGATCTTGGATGTAGTCCACCCCCTTGCCTTATCTGGGACTGCTGAAGGAGACACCACCAGCATGCAGCTCTGCCCAGTGCACAGTGCCCAGTTCTGCCCTGGCATGAGGCAGGTACCCCATGATATTCCAAAGGGGTCTGATCATATTCCCCACCACGACCAACACTCAAGCTATTTATTTGCTCCAAGGGGCCCCATCATACTTCAGGAGCTTCTAAATGACAATACCATTGATTGTCACAAGGGCAAACTGAGCAACTCACTGAGCAAAGCACCATCATCAAAACTGGTTCCTGGGAAAAGAAAAGGCCACTGGCACCTTTGCTCCCACTGCTGCTCCCTGGACCACTGCTCTGCAGGTGCAGGAACAGATGATGGGCTAAGATCCAGGTTTGAGAAGCTCAATAATTTGGTAGAGATGGTTTGATTTGGCCACGGCCAAAGACTTGTCTGAGACCATCACCTCTCTTTTGCTTTTACTACTTTAATAAACCCCAAGGAGCAGCTGCTCAGGGCTAAAAAGCTAAAATGTCCTCAAACACCCACATTTCTTCTTCTGCTGTCTTCTTACTTTTCCCTTTGCCCATAAGGACCTGGCTCCCATGGGGATGGAAAGAAGATCCGTTGTCTCTTCAGACCTCACCCTAGAGACTTCATCTCTTTCTTTTTGAGAAGCCAACTCCACAATGCACTGGGGTTAGATTTGCCCCCTTCCAGTCTACATATGTCTGGAGGAGACATGATGGAGAAGGTGACCAGGAAAGATGGCAGACCTCCATCTCTGAATAACAGAACCATAGAATCGTAGAATACCAGGTTGGAAGGAACCTCAAGGATCATCTGGCCCAACCTTTCTTGGCAAAAGCACTGAAAATTCTCCTCCTCATTGAGATACTCCCAGCCTGCAGGTCCACCAAAGCTATCCCTTGCCATCAAGTCTCTCTCTGGATACCTTTCCTTTGGGCTTACACCACCATTAGTATTTCAGACTGAATTTAAAAACCAAAACAAACCAAACCACAAGCCAGTAAGATCAGTGGCCTTATCAGAGAGGGAACCTTTAAGCAAACCACAGTTTTCTCCAACTTCTAAGTCCTCAATCAGAAACACGTGAGTATAGGCCATGGGAAATCCAATGGATGGAATGTTATGTATGTGAATAGCCTGAGCCCCAGTCAGCTTTATTTTTAACCTACCAGATGTGTGACATTTTTGGTAGACACAATGAACAGTTTTGGAAGGCTGAGCAATGCCACACAACTCTTCCAGTGAGCGATGCTATGTGTATAAGTACTGCCAGTGCAGCTTCTTCTTGATATTCAGTTTAAAAATTCCCCAGGATTAGCAGAAAATAAAATTTAAAGTCATCTATTGTCATATTTTAGTGCTTTTAGCCTAGAAAGTTGTACAACATTAGATGTACCTGTGTAGTGAAACTCAAGCAGCACCAACCCCCAAGAGAGAAATGTGTCACACTGGCTTAAAAATGTTTCTCTTGGGTTCATTTATTCTAGAACAGAGAGAGGAACAAAATATACCCGAAACAAAACCTCCATGTGCACCAAAAGGCTTTTCCACTGCAATGTTTTCAGTGCAGGAACCCACACGAAGCAGAGTCTGTGCAGAGAGCTGGCTGAGAGTATGTGTTGAGTCATTGCACAGCCCCATTGCCTGCTGATAGTCATCTGAACGTTCTCCTCGAGTCAGCAGAGAGACACAGACACCCCCAGAAAGTGATTCACCCTGTCCTAAGATCCACGTGTGGGACAGGGAGGGGTTGACTCATGCTCCCCAAGTGTCTGACTCCATCCCTTGGCAGGGGAGTGTGGGGACTTGTGAACACCAGCAGTCAGGTGGGATGAGTCCTACCCTTACAAAACAGTTTGATGTCTCCTCATTTGCACTAAGATCTGAGGGGGGGAGATGAAGCTTCTCTAGACATTTTGGCATATTCCTGCCTTTGTTTAAAACTCCATGACTCTGTGGCTAATGTGAATTTTGGCATCCTAGTGACGAGAGGGATCCGGCCCTGGGTGCCATCGTGGTGCAATCAGTAGGTGGATGTCAACAGGAACCATGGAGTGATGTAAAGACTTCTCCAACACTTCTTATGGTGTTGCCACAGAAATGATTCCCTGGTTCCTTCATACAGGCTTCAGTGACAAAGCACACCTTGGCTTTGGTCATCTTGACCATAAGTTTCTCATTCCCATCTTCCCCTGTTACTTCTGTGACATCCTCATACAATGTACAACTCTCACAGACTGGGGGATAAACTCTTCCTTTCTTTACCACTTCTCCAGGCCTTATTTCTAAGCAACTATAGACATCTCTCCAATTATAACTAGAATTAAAAGTTCTGGTAAGTTGGATCACATGGGAATTATTTTATTTTGATTTTGACTTTTGCACATGGTGACTGACGCACCTTCCTCTAGCATGAGTAGGTTTCAATTCCCTTCCAAGGTTTGTTTATCAAAGGGTTGGCGTTGGTTTAAAACTGAAGTCACTTCAAAAAACCCACTCCCACTCCTCCCACTCTTGTGCTTAGTCTTGGGAGTGGAAAATACTCGCCAAGCACTGCCACATCTCCGTGGGCATTCTCAAGCCAGGAGGACATCAGCTACCATGGGGCTGGAAGTCCTGGGGATGCAACTGCGGGATCTGTATCCCACCTGCCCGTAACAAGTCAGACTCAGGTGGGCTGGGGTTGTGTTCAGGCTGTCTGCACTGTACTCCAGCCCTTCATCTCCTCCTGCCACCTTCTAGGGAGCAATGAGTGACTCAGCACCACTAAGGAGTCAAGCCTGTGTGTCCTGAATGACACATCACAAGAATAAGTCCCCCAAATCCCTTAAGTAATGAGCCCTGAAGTCCTTCCAGTGAGACATCTCCTAACCTACATTCAGCACGATGAGGCAGAGCTCCATAATATCCCAAACTGAAAGACAAAGCATCAATATTTGAGGGATTTATCCAAGGTCTCCCATAAAATCCATGTAAAAGCAGGGAATAGATCTCCCTCACATCACAGTGCACCTTGCCAGGTGCATTTCAGGCAGGATTCAGCTCCTCCTGTAGGGACTCACCTCAGGGTGCCCACGAGTAAGTGACATCTACTTTACTCCATGTAGAATCAAGGCTTAGTGCAACCACCACAGACAGGAATGCAGCAACATTTGAGATGTTCTCAGCTATTCCAGACCTCCACGTGGAGCTGGGAGATGTGAAAAACTTGCATACAGAAGACAAGAACATTTTTGAACTGGGAGCTGAGTGAGGCAGGGTACTCCTGGAAACTAGGCAAAAGTCCAACCAATTGTTTCTTTAGTCTGGCCAGTGGAGCCACAAGAGACATTACTTGAGATGCTGAAAACATGAATGGACTTGGGTATAATGCAGGTAGTGAGAGGAGGATGAGCCACTCCAAGTTCAAGGGAAGCTCCTCCTTGCTGAAGCTTGAACTTCAGCCTGTTCTCCCTTTCCTCCTCTAGTCCCTACAAATGGCCCAGAAAAAGAAAAGGTCACCTCAGAAATATAACGAGGCTCTCCAAAAACTCCACATCCACCAGAGAGACTCAAACCAACGACTCCCCTTCCATCACCATTGCTGGTTTTAAAGCCCACATACATTCAGGAGTCAAACCAGAGCCTGGAAAAGCCACCCCAGCCTACCTGAGCTATTCACACTGTGCCATTTCACCTCCTTTCACAACCAGTCCCATAAAAGCTGCAGCAAAATCACACGCACAGGCACACATGAGTATTGAAAAGGAACAATGCCTCCACTTCCCCCTCCCTCGCAGTGTTGTTCAGCTGAGGAGAGAGGTTTTTCACTAGGGGCACTCACAGATTTGGCCACAAATTCAAGTTATGGGCTCTGAGTGATTTGGCTGCATCCCCCCTGAGCCTTCGCTGCAGTGCCTGTCCCTTTAAAGCTGAAGAGGATGCCTCAGTGGGGCTCTGGTCCTTTTTTTTTGACACTAATTCTCCTGAAGTCTCTCCTAAAACAAAACAGGAAGCTACCAATGTTTCTCCTGGGTGAGCTGGGCAGGAAATATTCAGCGTGACACCAGAGCTTCCATCATCCCCCATGAGAAGCCCAAGCTCCTCCAGTGCCAAGGGACACGTCTCGGTTCCTCCCCAGCACTCGCTGCCTGCTCAGGTCTCTCTGCTGTGACCC